CTGATTACAGCAGTTGTAGCCAGGATATTATCAGCTGGGGACTGCTTAATTGAATCTATGTTACATTATATACTGTATGAGGAAGAGAGATAGACAAAGAGTTGTCTTGGTTTCACCCTGAGGAAAAGGGTTATCACCACCTGTTTCTTCTTCTAGTTAGCCTTTATTGTTTTCTCTGCTTGACATATAAAATCATGGAACATCTATTCCAGCCTTCAATTAGTCACAACAACTTGTGTGATGGAAGTTTCTTCAGTTAATTATGTCCATATTTAATACTATGTGCGAATGTAGTTCCAATTTATTTTGTTAAATATTTATCCATTTTGAGGCCACCCAACTCCTCAATGACTCTGAGTGGCTTATGCGTCAACAAGAAAAAAATATGTATGTATCATTAAAAGACATCCAGGAAGAGCAATACACAGCAACCATTAAACAAACAGAACTGTTTCTATAATACATTTTGGTACTAAAGCTGCAATATTAAGTTAGCTGCTGAACCCATTGGATTGGGATTGGGTATTAAAGCTCAAACATTAAGAGAATGTGGAACAAGTAGTCCTTGACTTACAACTGATCATTTAATGACTGTTCAAAGTTACAACCTACCTACAGAAGACTTACTGAACTTTCATCAATAAAAAAATCATCAATTTAGGTTCAGTGCTGGTTTAAAGAATTTGGAGGCCTGCTATAATGTCAGATTTGGAGCCTTCACTTACCCCATCATAGTTTCACTGCTGATGAATTCCTGCAAAATGAGATCTTAACACCATATATTAAAATTGGAACAGGACAGAACCTAAACTGAAAAGTACTCCATCTAGAAAAAGATATCGAGTACAAAATTCAATATGCAATGAAACAATGATCCTGTTGGCTCAATCCACCTGGCTAATCTGAAGCAATGTTAGACTATCAAAAATCTAGGTGTCCCAATCTAGCTGTTGGTAACATGGAACTATGTTAGCTAATGGGTAGGGTAGCCCATCCAAAAACTTCGTTAGTTCAATCTACCCATTGACTAATGTGGAGTTGTGTTAATGTAGCTCGGACATGTGAAACTCACGACATCACGTGATGCCATGCGATGTATCAGAGCTTTTTTCCCATTTCTGGCAATGGGGTGGGCACGGTTTCCTCTTAACGCATCCGGCCCGCGGGCCAGCAGTTTGACAACCCTGTTGTAGCTGATGGGTGGACCTGCTTATTTGAAAATCCTGCCTGCCTAAGCTGAAAATGAGGGACTCTTCCCCAAGTAGAGTAATGGAAGAAGATATTCTGATTTTTTTTTCTTTTGCTTTCCCCACTTCATTTTTCCACTGGCTGCTGCTTTTCTTGGGAAGCCCCCTTTTTTTCTGAAGACCAAGGCAGCTATATTGATTGTAACTTCCTTTGGTTGGCTTTAGGTTCCATGATTATTAGTACTTATATTTCTAGTATTTCATTTTACTTTTGATGTGAGAAAATACATTCACTTGATCGCTAACTCTGTTCAACTCCATGTTTTGTGAGAGCTCCACTTGTATGAAATGGCTTGCAAGGATGGCCCCTTCTCTCATAACCTTGGGAAAGTTAGTTAAAAAAAATCTAGTTGTTAACAAAGGCTTGTAAGAGTGGATTGATTGGCTCCACATTGCTGTAGTGTGCTATTAATTTAACTTATTTTCTTCTCATTGTCATCAGAAACACTGTTTTTGATAGAGAATCCATAGCAAGCTGCAATTGACATCAATGTGATAATATAGCAATAGCACTTAGACTTGTGTACCACTTCAGAGTGCTTGACTGCCCCCTCTAACATGCAAGGCATAACTTAATACTTTGGTTACAATGCCTGATGCGAATATGTAGGTCATGTTATTTGCATCATATTATGAAACAGAAGTCATTTAACCCTCCTTGCCTCACTAGTGTTGAATAGTGTAAGGAAACAACTGGCTGACATTCCAAAACAGCGACTGAGATATATTAAAAGGTAATGTACATCAAATCAGTAAATTATTTTTATTTCAGGCAAAACATATGCAAAAATAAAAACATATTCCCCATGCCTTTTATTATTGGAATAACCATTAAAGAATAATGATTAGCTAACATTCTTTTCTCTGAAAAAAGAGTACATGTTTTGTAAGGGTTGTTAAAACATTTTTTTTTAAAGTACAATAGTCATCACTAAAGCAACAAATCATTTAAATAGCAAATTGCATTTAGCTATTTAACTTTTCTGTCTTCTTTTTGTTCCCATTGTTATCAAGAAGATACTTTAAACATGCAAACTGGTGAACAGATTTTTCACGAGCAAGGTAACTTGTTGAGTAACAAGCAGCCCACGTATTGTCTGCCTCTTTGTCACATGAATTTTGAACCTGGATGTTTCCCTCATCAATGATGGCTAATAATTATTTAAAGAACTATCCATTAGTTCCCTATTTCCCTTTGAAAGCTGTCTAAACTACTGGATATCCTTTTATCTGATGGTGGCTAATTCTGTGGGGGAGTATGAAACAACATTCTGGGAATTATTTTAGCAATTTTATTTGGTGATTCTTAGTTCTAATAGCCAGGTCATTGACTTTCAACTAATTAACCTTTTTTTAAAATATAGTTTCAAGAGTGGTTGTTATGTAGTTCAGGCTTACTATATGTGTGAATGTTTTTTTGTTTGGTTGGTTGGTTGGATGTTTTTTTTTTTTTTTTTTTGGTATGTTAAGATTAGAGATGGGCTGACTATAAACTAGATATGCTGGCACTCACCAAGTTTCCAGAACTGGACTAGCAGAGGACACTGGACCAATATGGGGTCCAATCTCCTGGGCCAACAGAACTTGCATCCCTGATCATGCTTTTGATCAATGTGACTGTCTCCACTGGGTAACATTGATGGTGGAGACTATGGCAAAGCTGTCTTAGTGAAGATCTGGGTCAGACTGCGTTGGTTAGCATCTCATGGGGCTGTTTGGTGGTGGCTGTGCCTGGTGATTTGTTGGTGATACCTGGCATACTTTGTGTATTATCTAAGAATTATGGACTGTATTAATGAGGGTAAAAGAATAGTGTCATAGTTCCGATAGATGAAACCCATCAAAAGAAAACTTCAAGGCAAAATTCTTCCTTAAAGATCATTTTATTCAGGAAACAAAGTATGGGTACTACATAGTTGAACCCAAAAACTAAATTCTCTTCCCAGGATACAAAGTAACAAAGTGCAATTCCCACACCCAATAAGCTGTCATAAATCACATTTTCCAATTAGCCTAAAACTCAGGCTTTCTCCCCAGCTTCTCAGCCTGTCAGAACGTTATCAGCTCATCCTTGGGTTCCCACAAAGCAGCATTATTATTATGGCTAGCTGAGCTCGAGCTTTCAGCCCAACCTCCCCCTTCTGCACCTAATTTCTAAATACCAGAAAAAGCATATTAAAAACTGCAATTTTCATCATTTGTCAGAGTGGGAACATCCAATGTTTACAGCATTGACAAATAGAATAGAAATTGTATATGAAAACTTAAAAGTTAGTTATCATTTTTGCTGTTCTTCTCAATGGAATATGGATTTCATAACTTTTTTGGTAAAATGTATTCAATCTGTGCAAGACACATGAAGATCTTACTACTACATATTAGAAGAATGCACTTCGTTTCTGTTCTATAACCTTAGACTCTGCTTATTGAAGATTGTTAACAATCTGGCTTAGTTACGGTGATCCTAAAACACAGAATAGAAAATGGAGACTTTTGTAATCAAGCCAATTATCTATATGGAGTTTTAGTGATCTATCTTGAAAAAGTTTGGCAGTATTCAACCTCCTTATCTACAAAAAAAAAAAAAAAAAGTCTGAGAAACAGAGTTCAGAATGGAAATTACTGAAGCTTTGATTTATCTGTCTGAAAACATTCCAGGATAAGCTTTCTTTGCAACAGACAACTGATTTATGATTTCTTCATCTAGGATCAACCTTTTTCAAAACTGTTTTGTGATATGAAATTTTGCACCCTATACAAGCAAGTTGTTAACACTTGCGAAAGCAAAGCAAAACTAGGTGATTATATGTGTGGGTAATGATTGTTTTTTGTCATGTAAGATTATCCTGTGAGATTACCAAGTGCTCAGTTTGAGAAAGGACAGGTATAAAATATTAAGGGAAAATATTAATAAAAGGGAAAGGCAATTGACAACCACTGAGGAGGAGGAGGAAGATGAGGAGGAGGAGGCAAGTTCCAAAAATCAGATACATAAAATAGAAAGGCAAAGCTTATAGAAACTGACTAAGTGAAAGAATTATGGCAGAAGCGGCAGCCTCTTCTACTAGCAAGAGTTAACTGATGTAACTTGCCACCACTAGCAGAACATCCTCATGGAAACTGAGTGGCTGTTCTCAGAATGAGACTGAAGGGAAAGATCTACTATTTACCACAGGTTAAATGGATAACCTGACAGGAAGATCTTCACTTTGGTTTTATTTATTGCAGTCCTCCCATTCTGGGAACATTGAGCTACCACAATTAGTTTAACTGAAATTTTTTTAACCCTTCTTTTGCAGGATTCTCCTGCCACGATTCAGTTTATATAGCTCTAAAATACATAATTTAACTTCAAACAGAAGGGAGGGAGAGAGAGAAATGAAGGAAGAAAAGAGGAAAAGAAAGGGAGGAGTAGAATAAATGTCTCACCTTTTTATTTTTAAATGTATAGGCAATAATAATAATAATAATAATAATAATAATAATAATAATAGTAAAGTTGGAAGGGACCTTGGAGGTCATCTAGTCCAAGCCCCTGCTCAGGCAGGAAACCCTGCTCAGACTATATAGAAGGAGTTTTTAAGATACAACAGCACCATTGAAGAAGCTATGAATCAAGTATTTAGTGCTTGGTCTTCAGTCCTGCAAACAAGGAAATTAATTATTTAATGGTATATAAGCGAAGTACACTTTACTCCTGATGTTTTGTGTCACAGTATATCTTCTTTAATAATGTATTATCTTCTCTTGCAGAATTGCTACCCAAGTGTGAACAAATGCAGTGCCAATACAAGTGTGCCATGTCCGTGAACGAAACTAGATGTTACTGTGAGGAAGGATACGAAGTTGGCAGAGATAGAAAAACCTGCCAAGGTAAAGTAACCATATTATCATATTATTCCATGGGGCGCAGTGGTTAGAATGCGATATTGCAGACTAATTCTGCTGACTGCCGACTGCCAGAGTTCAACAGATCGATTCTCACCAGCTCAAGGTTGACTCAGCCTTCCATCCTTCCTAATTTGGTGAAATAAGGACCCAGATTGCTGGAGGCAATATGCTGGCTCTGTAAACTACTTAGAGAGGGCTGTAAAGAAATGTGGAATGGTATATAAATCTAAGTGCTATTGCTATTGCTATTCCAAAACATTTGCTCAGGAAAAATCATAGGAAAGCTTGAATTTAGTGAACTATACAGACTGGGGAAGGTGGTGGTATTTAAACTTGATTTCTGGAGAACTTGCCCAATGCTTTTTCTATATTCTCTAGTCTTGTTCCCACCCATCCATCCATATTGGTTAGCAGAATAACATTTCTTCCCTGGGATCTCATTCAGAATGTTACACATTTTTCTCCAGAACAAATCCTAGTACTTCCATTGTAAATGTTTACTGGCATGTAACACGCATCAAACAGGTACCAATACATTCCTGCATTTTTTTTCCACATCACAACCATCTAGATCAGGCATGTCAAACTGCCGGCCCATGGGCCAGATGCATCATGCCTAAATTGCACCCACCCCAGTGCTGGCAATGGGGAAAAAGTCCCGATACATTGTGAGTTTGACATCGTGAGTTTGACATGCCTGGTCTAGATGATACTGGTTCATACAGTCTGATTTACACTATAAGCCTTTTTATTCATAACTAGAGCTATGCCTTTCCTGCTAGTTATTCACCATCTCCACAGTGCCGTACATACACATATACTTTTAAAGTTCCAATCAATGATCTGCATTTATCTTTATTCGTATCTATTACAACTTTTTCCTTTTTTAAAGATACAAACATACATTATTTCTGTTTTCATTATTTTAGTCTTCACTTTTTCAGTCTTGCAGTAGTCTGTTAATATAATTTTACAATACAGATAGAGGTAATATTCACTGTTGGGTCCCAAAGGTGCTTTTTCAAAAGGCAAATAGACTTTCTTTGTTTTTCCTTGAAGACATTTCCCTTCTCATCCAAGAAACTTCTTCAGTTCTCACCTGAAGACGACCTAGATGACTGAGAATCTCCATAGATATTCATTGTTGTGCTACCTGGGAGGGCTAACATCAATCTTGCAAGATTGAAAGTATTTCTCCATTCCTTTTCTACTACCTTCCAGAAAACTAGAGAGAGTTCCTTCTGAAATGCTTTCCATTCCATTCCACTTCTTTTGCATGCCAGTTGTCCCATCTGTGGCTCCCCCTCTAGTCTCCCAAGGTCATTCCTACAGACAATTGCAACCTGTCAATGTTTGTATAGTTTGATCACTGTTTCACAAGCACAGCTGACCCTACCTTATTGTATTATTGTTAGATGATTGTTTTAATTTTGTACGCCGCCCTGAGTCCTTTGGGATTGGGCGGCATATAAATAAAATTAAATACATAAATAATAAATAAATACCTTGGCCCCAAATATGTTCATACTATCCTATGCAAATTAGTTTCTCTAATCTAATAAAGAATGCAGAGAAGAACAAAGATGATTAGGGGACTGGAAGCTAAAACATATAAAGAATGGTTGCTGGAATTGGGTATGTCTAGTTTAATGAAAAGAAGGACTAGGGGTGACATGATAGCAGTGTTCCAATATCTCAGGGATTGCCACAAAGAAGAGGGAGTCAACCTATTCTCCAAAGCTCTTGATAGCAAAACAAGAAGCAATGGAAGGAAACTAATCAAGGAGAGAATCAACCTGGAATTAAGGAAAATTTTTCTGACAGTTAGGACAATTAATCAGTGGAACGGCCTGCCTCCAGTAGTTGTGGGTGCTGGGATGCTCAAGGTTTTTAAGAAGAGATTGGACAACCATTTGTCTGATATGGTAAGGTTTCTTGCTTGAGAGGGGATTGGACTAGAAAGGGATTGCATTGTTACAATAACTTTTATTATTGTAGACACCACCAACATCCTGCCTTCATCCTGCCAAGGAGAAAAAATAATGATAAATACAGGATTGATTCCTGAGTATAATTTAACTATTTTTATTTTCAGATTTTAATGAATGTAATCTGTATGGACTCTGTAGCCAGACATGTCAAAATACTGATGGATCATATATCTGCAGCTGTGTAGAAGGATATCTCCTTCAACCAAACAAAAAGACTTGCAAAGTGAAAAAAGGTAAGCAGGAATATATTGCTGTATTTATTTGCTGTGATTCTCCATTGTGTATCTAGCTGACCACCAGTGGAACAAAATGCTGAATGATCTCTAAACCAGAGCTACTTTGTGTGCTCTTTCTTTCTTTCTTTCTTTCTTTTTTAAAGTACATTCTCTTTATTCTAATTGCCTTGATCTACATTTTGAAAACATGAACAGAATTTTGGAGTTGTCATAGATACAACAACTCTTGAAAAGAGAAAATTAGCACAACAACAAATAGATGAGTTGAGCCTTTCCTGTATTATTTTAAGGTTGGCTTTATAGCAATCTGAAAGAATTTGAGAAAGATTAACTAAGACAGTAAACAGTTTTACTTGTTAAGGTTGATACAATGCTCAGTTCAATTCTCCTGCATCTTATGTGATGCTTCTTCTTGTATCTTATTCTTATCTATAGTAAATAAAAATCAGAAAAGATTTTTCAGAACCTTTTCAAACTTACAGTTTAGGATGACAGGTGCATGTGTAGTCTTAACAAACACAAAGGATGTTTAATGCATTACGATTGCTGAATAACAAAAGACCTGTAATCTGCATCACATTTAGCGTGCAGATGTATGAACATGCTTTCTCCTTACACACTTCATTCAATTTAAATTCTTCATCAGTTTAACTCAGGGGTTTTCAAACTTGGCTCTTTTATGACTTGTGGACTTCAACTCCCAGAATTCCTCAGCCAGCGGGCCTGGCTGAGGAATTCTGGGAGTTGGTTCACAAGTCATAAAAGGGCCAAGTTTGAAGACCCCTGGTTTAACTACTCCATGCATCTGGTGAAATGAGCTATAGTTCATGGAAGATTATTCCTTTTAATAAAATCTGATAGTCTAAAATCCTCCTTCTAACTCCAACACATAGTTCATAACAATTACTTTAAAGTAAACAGAATGGTTTAAATTGCTTCAGATGCCAGATGTGTCACCATTTTGTTCCTCATAACATTCAATGAGGGTTATGTATATTTTCATTAGTGGCAATAAATTAAATATTTAAAGGAATTGGTAAGCTTCCTTTAATAGAGCTGGAGGGAAGAAAGAATTTTCCTAATCAATATAACAGACTAATGTTTTTCTTGTGAAGTATTCATAATTGGCATGCATGAGGTACAATATGGGATGCTTGTAATAATACATGTAGTCTTTGACTTAAACCATTTGTTTAAGAGACCATTCAAAGTTATAACAGCACTGAAAAAAGTAACTTATGATCAGTCCTCACATTTACAATCAGCACAGCAACTCCATGATCACGTAATCAAAATGCAGGCTCTTGGCAACTGGCATCCACTATAGTTGCAATATCCAGAAGTGATTTGATTATTATTTGAAATTTTCCCTTCAAGTCAATGAAGGAAGCCAGATTCACTTAACCATCACATGATTCACTTAGCAATTGCAGTTATACATTTAACAACCATGTAAAAAAAATCATAAAATTGGGCACAATTCACTTAACAACTGTCTTGTTTAATAACCTAGAACATAGAATAATAGAGTTGGAAGGGACCTTGGAGATCTAGTCTAACTCCCTGCTCAAGCAGGAGACCCTATACCAGTGATAGCGAACCTTTTAGAGACCGAGTGCCCAAACTGCAACCTAAAACAAAACCCACTTATGTATCATCGTGTGCCAGGTGGGCATGGCCCATTGGGTGGGCGTGGCCCATTGGGTGAGCGTGACTGCGGTGGTAACTGCAGACTGGGTGGGACTAAAAATTTCAATCAATCAATTCCAACTTTGCGAGATCTTTTTCTTTTTCCCGTGAGAAGTTGAAATTGATTGATTGATTGATTGATTGATTGAAACTTTTTTTTTATTTTGCACATGGCAGTGGAGGCCTAAAGCAAAAAAGTTTTATAAAACCCAGCTGAAGGCCTAGGACTGGGGCGATGGTGCACGTGCCCACAGAGAGGGCTCTGAGTGCCACCTGTGGCACACGTGCCATAGGTTCGCCACCACGGCCCTATACTCATGCAGACAATTGACTGTTCAGTCTCTTCTTGAAAGCCTCCAGTGGTGGAGCACCCACAACTTCTGATGGCAAGCTATTCCACTGGTTGTTTGTCCTCACTGTTAGGAAGTTTCTCCTTAATTCCAGGTTGCTTCTCTCCTTGTACAGTTTCCACCTGTTGCTTCTTGTCTTGCCTTCTGGTGCTTTGTAAAATAGGTTGATCCCCTCTTCTTTGTGGTAGCCCCTCAAATATTGAAACACTGCTATCATGTCTTCCCTTCTCCTTCTTTTCACTACACCAGCCCTACCTAATTCCTGCAATTTATAACCAGAGTTTTTCATATGTTTTAGTCTCCAGTCCCCTAATCATCTTTGTCGCTTCTCTTTGCACTCTTTCCAGAATCTCAGCATCTTTTTTTATATTGTGGTGACCAAAATTAGAAATAGTATTCCAAGTGTGGTCTCACTAAGGCTTTATAAAGTGCATTATACTTCACATAATCTTGATTCTATCTCTCTGTTAATGTAGCCTAATAGAAATTCTGGTGTCATAAGTCTAGGACTTTCTGTAATTATGCCCGCTTGCTCTCTTGCCCCTGTCAAAGGAAACTAAACCAATAGCTCTAATAACATTTCTAAGAAGTAGAAATAATACTTGTGAAAACTGTCCCTAATTAAAACCAAGTTACTAACTTACTTTACTTAGTTATTTTTTATCCCAGAGAGCAAGTGCAGTTTAGTTGAATTTTTCAGAATTTACCACAGTGTATTTGGGAAAATACAGTGAATATAGTATCAGGGAAATGTGAAGGATAGAATATGATTAAAGATATTGATTATCCCAGGAAATTTGGGTTTGTTTAAAATTCATATTGATCCACAAAGCATAGCAATTACTTTGAATAAATCTAAAAGAAAGCTATACACCAAAAATCAATTTCATTTTTCTTCCTGTCATACTCACATGGCATTTTACTGATGTCATTGTTGGAACTATAATGAATAACACAATTAGTAATTAATAATAGAGAAGTGCTAATGCTCTTAATGCACTTTAACGTAGTGTTATTTAATGAAGACAGCAACAATAGTAATACAAATGTAGCTGAGATTTATTTCTGAGTAGTCATATGTAAGATTGTGTGGCTACTCATACTAGACTGGCAGCAAAATGTCAGCAGGAGAAATAAATAAGGAAAGAAACTCCCAAATCAGATATTTCATAGGTAAGATATCACTGAAATAGAGACAGGAAAATATGATGACAAGCAGTTATAAGAGGTTTGTAGGCATTACTGCATAATTCATAAAGGGCTAGGAAAAAATATTTCAATTCAATCAGTTGGACCCTCCATACAAAATAACATATATAATCCCAAATGTAGTATTTTAACAATACAGCATTGTTCTGTAACGGTGAGCAAAATGAATATGGCTATCAGCCAGCATGTTATCCAATTATGCCCTCATAAAACTCTAGATCTATCAGAGTCTAACTTACTTAGAGTGATTGCTCAGATATGTACTTGTACTGGAGGTTTGCTTGAAAAAATACGTATCAACTGATCTGTAAACATGAACTTAGCCCAAGAAATACCAAGGAATGGGACAAAAAAATACCCCTTAAGATTGCCCTATCTTTACTGTCTTTGGTCTAAGAGGTAGGGAAGGAGAAACACTATCAGGCTTTCAACAATCTCCTGTTGTAGCTTAGATCAATAAAGTAGATGTCTAGAATTTCTTATAGTGTCTGTTTCCTTACTTGGTCAACCTCAAAAAGATGGCGTCAATCCTGAAGCTTGCCTGCTTTCTATTCAGAGAGGCAGGGGACCTTGTTTCTGATCAAGAAGATGGCATCTGATCCTAAGAATACCCTGCTGTGCATTAAACAACTTGCTGAAACATTATTACAATGTCACCACCAAGAGGATTTATGAAAACAAATCTACCCAATCCCAGGGTACAATTAGCATTTGGGGCAAGCTTTGCCTCAGTCAGAAATAGCTTAGCAGCCGCAACCCAGCCAATTTCTCTGTTTCCATAGGAGTTTGCCAGGAAAGCTCAGAGAAGTCCAAGTTCAGTTCTTAACTATCACAATTTGGTGTGAATTGTTTATGGCAGGTCAACTAGCAGAATTTCATAAAGAACTCACCAAAGTGAATCTTCTTTTGAATTTTCAGAAAGTAAGCCCATTTCTCTTTTCCATGGCTCCTTTTTTTTATAGTAGTACCTGAGTACAGTCATTCGTTCCCTCAATACTCAGGATGATTCAGTCTCTGCTTTACTGAAATCCTTAATAAACGAAGTACAACATGTGCTAAATTCATGCAATGGTATCCATGACAAATGGAAGTGACGTCAAAATGATGACACAATGTGATGATGTCATTGTGAAAAATGTCACAATTGCAACTGCCTAAGTTACAGCATTTGTGATACACAGGAGAGAGAGGAGAAGAAGCCAACTTTGACCAGGTAGAGGAATTAATTTCAGAAGACAGTGTTGGGGATATAGGCCGATGATTGAAACAGCATTTTTAGCTAGCTGTCAAGTTACCTCTTCCATTGTAGACAATGAGATGGTCTTTGCCTGTGATCTGCCAAACAGACCAAGCTGAATAGCCAGGCTGAGAGGTTGCAAGTATGAAGGAGGGTGTAGGTTAAGCATACTCTATCTTTAAATACTGCAGTAAAGGGATTTCAGTTCTGGCAGTGAATCCAGTTGTAAACCTCAAGGCCAGCTGCATCTGGAACGTGTCCACGGATCACAAATAAAATAAGCAAAATGGCACTTCTCCCCAAAACCTAACAGAAACAATAAGAGGGACTATCCTTGTTGGCAGAAGCAATGGAAAAACAGTAGTGACACAATCTGCAACAGAGTTGGCAGAATCTTAGTTTCATTCCTGATTTAAACTGAGCGATGTAACACAAAATTGGTATTCTGTTAAGAACTAATCCTCTCCATTTTAAAAAATACTTTGTTTTGGGGGAAAGGACACTAAATCTGTGTTTTTAAGGGGCCTGCATAAATCCTGGGAAGCACTTTGTAAGAGCAAAAGAGTAAAAAATATATTTGATTTTAGACCATCCAAACAAAACTACATCCTATTCCTGAAAATTCTTGAAATTTATTTCTGAATGTGGAGAAAAGAGTAGTTCTTCCCATGATGGTGCAGAATAGAGAAGGGATCATTTGTTTCTTACTTTCTCTCTCTATTCTCTTGTCATTATGTACATAAAAGAGTTACTGCTGGATTAACTATTTCCCTTGGGAATTATTGTGCTAATTATCCACAGTAATCTATTTAGTGGCTCTGGAAAGTTCTATGTCTTTCGATAGATAGACATAGAAATTATATTGCAGTACTTCATGTCTCTGGTTTTGCTTCCTATTTGTCTCATTTTTGCAAGTAAAATATTTGTATGCTTGCTAAAGTTTACCAAATAAACATCAACCTTTTTTTTTTTTTTGGTTAGCTCTAATTAATTGAGTGTTTGCTTAGACTGTTGTGGACACAGGGGTTGATTGAAAGTGCACTGGGAATTAAATTGGAAATTACTCACAGTAATTTTCCAACAGGAATTATGGTGTAAATATAGGGGAAAAGTAAAGAATAAATACAGTTCAAATGACAAATCTGAAAATAATTTACTTGACTGGGTTCATACATGACTAGTGTTAGGTCAAGGTTCTGATTAGATCAATTAGCTAAATTTATCACATCCAGATCAGCAACAATCTGGATACTCATATTCATTCATTAAGCATTGCCAAAAGCAATTAAAACAGTAAAAAAAAGCTGTCTATGAACTTTCTTTCCTTGGCAGAATTAATGAAAAATCCATAATCATTCAGTGATTAAAAAATAGCAACATATACCTAGTAGAACCATACTGTCTATTGCAGTTTAAATGGACTTTCTGTGCAGTAGAATCTTCAGAAACTCTTTAGGAAATGTTGAGAATATTTAGAATACTGAGAAAGTTAAAGTAAGATCACCAGATCTGCTATGCATTTCCCCTTTCTATAGATTATGGCTGAACAGGTATTTGAATTTTTAGAGACTTATACAGAACTTTCTCCAAGACACAGCAACCAGAGATTGAAAATTGTTTTTCTGAAATCTATGACGCCATGATTTCATATTCTGACAGATCATTTTTGTAGCATGTTGTTTGTTTGTCAGAAGCATCACAATTAAAATAAGGCATACTATATGACATACATTTAAAATATAAAATACAAGATTAAAACAGGTACAAATTAAACAGGTCTTGCCCAGAAACTAGCAACATTGTGTTCTGTCACACTGCCGTGAAGTCTTCAAGCGTACACTAATCGGGGCACAAAGGGGAGGTATACATATGTGTTGTTTTCTGCATGTCACCACAATTGCAAAGAGCAGAACCAACCGGAGAGCCCCATTTGTTCAGAATATCTCTGGATCTTGTTGTATCCATATGCAATCTATTCAATGATTTCCATACTTCCTAGCATTTGTCAGACCCAGGTGCCAGCTCCTCTATTGGTTCCATCCAGTGTTGGTTCTTTGTAGCTTTCCATAGGTCCACTCTGCTTTCAAATTCTTCAGTCTTCTGTCAACCTATGAAGTTTTTCCCAGATTTTAATCTCTGATGAACTAGTTGTGGGCCATCAAGAGGGTATTGTCTAGATATTGATGATTTGAGCTTCTCTCTGTATACTGCTGCTTCTCTGAAAATAGAAGGCTTGGCAATGCTGGCTAGCTGATAGATTTTATTTAAAGGGGTAGGTTTAAGGCATCCAGTAATAATTCTACTAGCTTCATTCAGAGCAATATCTACTTTCCCAGCATGTGCTGATTTATACCAGATTGGGCAGGTTATTCACCTGATGAGTAGCAAAGAGCTAGAGTTGTTGTCTTAAGGACCCTTGGTTTGGTACCCCAAGTAGTGCTCATTAATTTCCTGAGGATGTTATTTTGTCCACTGACCTTTATTTTAGTGTCGGTTCATTTTAGTGTTGTATTTTGGTGTAGCACATTCTTTTCTTCCTTTAAGCATTTAATAGAACCTTCATCGAACACAAGTAAAGAAGTGTTTATAAAAGGAGCAAGTTATTTTAATTGGTTTATATAATTGTTGCAAAAATGGGCACATTATTTTTATTTGTTAATTAATCTTTCCTTCTTTGGCCTCTTCGTTTTCCTTTTGTTTTTAGAACCTAATGATCTTCCACCTCTACTATTGATTGCAAATTCTGACACTATTGATGTCCTATATCTAAATGGAACTAGAACATCCACCTTTGGATTTTTGAGAGGAAGTGGAATTCAGACATTGGATTATATACACAATAAGAACACAATCTGTTGGATTGAATCAAGAGAATCTTCAACTCAGTTAAAATGCACTGAGATATCAAAAACTGAAAAGCTGACTGATGAATGGATAATTAGTACCATTCCTAATCTTCACAGTAAGTATTTTAAGTCTGAAAAAGTATTTTTTCCAGAAAAAAATAATAAGAATCTGTCATATCAATGACATGTTTTATAGATTAATATTATTTTATTAATGTATGAATAAAATAGCACAATTTTTGCATATTATGAAGTAAATTCTTAACTGATTCTGTTTATGTTACATTTGGAGGTACAGATTTTTTAAAGATTTAAATATTGTGTCCCATTTACTTATTAGATTTAGGTCCTGCTTTTTGTTCAGGAGCTACACAATGCCCCCTGCTCCCATTTTTCATTGCAACATTATAAGGTAGATTTGGCTGAGATAGATTGACAGGCCCAAGCGAGTTTCCACAATTTAAGGTGGTCTTGAAGCTGGGTCTTTTCAGTGCAAGTCTAATTTTTATATCACACAGCTTTACTTATTTAAATGAATATAATATAAATTTATATAGTGGTAATAGAAAGAAAAACCTAAAGAGGCAATGAAGAGGATTTTTATTTTAGTATTTTAAACCTTTGGATGCTGCCCATCTAAACAACTTTTCTCTAGGCAGTTTGCCATATGTTAACATCATGCAGACATGCATGCATTTATATTGACTAACAAGCACATGGCAGCCAGGGTAGTTAGATAGTCCTGTGTGGCATATATGGTTAAAATGGACGGAATATGCATAATGCAGAATCTGAGGGCATTAATGCCAGCAAAAAAGTATGTTCATATACACTGAAGTGTCACACCTTCTCCATAGGGATTATGTGAAAAGCAGTACCTTGCTCAATTTGGAAATTATACTTTTATTGGTGAAGTCTATACGCACATCTTTGTTGCAGCTCCGCAGTACAGTAGCACTGATTCATATTTTGTTAATATTTACAATCAGCTGTTCTGGATTTTTTTACAAGTATCGGTACTAGTCTAGTTAAGTATCCTTAATCTTTACTTGTTCAATTGCATTCTTTAGGTACATTGCTGTTTGTTCAATGTTATTTTGTTACTGTCAACCCTTATTTCTAAGCCGGTATTTCTCCGTCTCCATAACTTTAAGCTGTGCAAACTTCAGTTCCCAGAATTCCACCAGTCACTGGCTGGAGGAATTCTGGGAGCGGAGGTCTACACGGCTTAAAGTTGTGGAGGTTGAAAAACACTGCAAATTATTGAGATTATTTTTGAAGTAGCAGTGAACCTGATCTATACTCTTCATGGCAGTTTCTACATCCCTGTAAGCTGCTTGGCTTTCGTTTCCTTCTTTGTATAAGCAGCAGGAAATGAATGGTGTCCTCATAGGACTTTTCAGCCTTTGGGTTCAAATAAGCTATTTGTCTCCATCCCACATGTACATACGAGAAGCTCAGCCATGGGCTGAGTCATAATCACTTGCAAAAAGTGTTGCTATGCTACATGCTTCCAGCACTGCAACTTGCAGAAGCATTTTAATAAAAGAGAAAAAAAAGATACCTTCATTTGAATGCATTATAAACACACATACACACACACACACACACACACACAAAACTAGACAATGACATACAATGATGTGGGGATTATCTTTGTGTGTGAGTGTGTGAGTATGGGCATGCACACACTTGTGCTTTGTAAGTGTAACTTTCTTTTTATTCTGTAGACAGTAGGAATGAGAGGAACTCAGGTAGATAGGGAAGGAGGGAGGGAGAGGGAGGGAGGGAGAGTTAGTAGATAATAAGCAAACAAAGAAACTGCTCAATGAGTAGGAGACTGAATTCATTTTTTTTAACTCTGCTCAGCTTGAGGGAGAACTGCATGCTTCTGATATTTCAAGGCCAGTAGAAATCAAAATGATTAGAGACCTGCTTAAGATTTATTGATGCAGGTTAGGGGGTGGGAACCAGGTGTAATAGTTCTAAATGTCTAGAGACTTTATAATCAGCCTTCTTAATTCTTGTTTACCAAAATTAAGATAAACAGAAAAAATACAGTTAAGCATATGCTCACTGTATCAAGCTTCAGTAATAAAAAGACCATAGAAGGCTGAGTTCTTACAAATTTTGAGCATTTTTTTCTAAAATAAATGTGATTGTGGTTAGAGAATTTAAAAACTACACAGTAAGTTTAATGGTTTTTTAAAAAATGTTTAGCCTTTTTGTATGCTTTCCATAGTATGGTGTGCAGTAATGTTATAGTCTTATCATTTTCCCAAAGAACATTTTTTTTAAAAAAAAAAAGGAAAATATAGGTATAGAACTACTTAACATTTTGACTTGTGAGGTTTTTTATTTTTTTTATGAAGCCACTGAGTTAAAACATGTATTTGTAAAATGAAAAGTTAATTTAAAAATGGAGCAGAATCATTTCTCGCGTAGTCAGATTCCCAGCATGTGATTTTTTTTTTCTGAATCATTTCAGGAACAAAGTCATATACTGTTTGAAAGAAATATAAAAAGATTGAGAGGAACATAATGTATGAAAAGGCTGGGCTATTCTGTCAGCATGTGTAAGCTGTTCAGTTTATCAATATGTCACAGAACATCTGGAACATCATGTGAGGATCCCTGCACACGTCTGATGGTTCTGAAGTTGATCATAAGATGTCATTTTTGTAGGCATAATTATAGAAAAACTGTCAAGGCATATAAGCCAATGTAATGAAGTAATTGGAAAGCATTCTAAATATCTGCCACTGCATTTGTTTCCAGAACATACACTAGAATTTCTTTCAGTCTCTCATTAAAATTAAAATTTCAGTATTTCTTTCTATCATGTATCAGTAGTAACAGAAGTTAAAGCAAGCAAAATGTGCCTCTCCCCTTAATATAATTTTAGGTTTTCCACACTCCCAGAGGAAATTGAATATGTGTAGTTTTTTTTTTCTTCTCTTCTTTTTTTAAAAAGTCATAGAGATTAACCGTATGATTCATTAACTGACATTTCAAAATGTTTAATAAAGCAAGAAAAACCCAGATGTGTAAAGCAAAGCTAAAATGAATGCAAAATTAGCTCATTTTTTTCTATCCTGAGACTTTCTCAATATTTGGTAAATTATGTGCTTTCAAGCTCTATACAATGTATTCTTTTCTGGAATAGATGGAAACTAAAAATAATATAGGGTTAATTGGAAAATTATGCATACTGGAATTTAATATATTCAATTATATTAATTATATTATATACAAGCTTTTCCTAAATAGTCACTTTAATCCTTAAACACAATTTTTTCAAATAAAATTGTGTTGTAACCAATCTAATTTCCAAAGGTAACATAACACATAGATGTCGATTAAATGAACCATTAGATATATGTCAACAAGATGTCAGGACATCTTATCCATATCTCTTAAGATCCTTTAGCTTTCCAGGTCCATATAATTAGCCTACTAAAGAACTGGTACTGGTAAATTTCACAATTTTTATAAGTCTCAAATCTTTAAGAAAATGACAGACCGGAATACCTTAAATATTTATAGTTGGGACTGTCCTTTTAAAAGAGATTCTTGGAATCTATTTTTAGAACATTAAAGTAGCCATGTTGTTTTCCAAATTCATAAGTCTGTTTCAGAAGCTGCTCTTAGTTGTTTCTGCAGGCATGTACATATGCAACTCCTTTGTTTTCATGTGTGTATGGAGCAGAATCAGGTAACGTAATGACAAAGCAGTGATTGTGTCTATGCATCCTTGAGGAATCAGGATAGACTTAAAAATCACTTCTCAATTTCTTTTTTCTTTCTACCTTCATTTTCTTCTTCTGATGAAATGTTTTGGTAGTAATTTTGTGTATTTGGGGAGGGACTTATTAATTCCTTCAGCTGAAACCAATTTGCAGTGGTACACAATTTCAACCATTGTTAATTCAATTACTCAGATCCATTTTCTATATTGACCCTGGTTGCTCCGTTTTCTTAACTTTCTGTCCCATGACATTAACTGCTATTTTCTTTTCTATTGACAGGTCTTACTAAATATATATTTGTGTGTATGTCTGCATCCATTAGATATAAACAATTAAAGCAAATATATGCATATATTTAGTTAGTTAATTAAAGCATCAGAATGCATCTACATGCAGGCACACTAAGCAGATTATTAAAAGAAATATTTTTTTTCTTCGCTAGTTTTCTAATGTGTTTTAGGGTTAGCTTTACAATAAATGCTGTAAAAGCATCTTCTTCTTCTTCTTGTGCCATATCCGTTATCGGACGTCGGCAATACTGTTTTTATCAGCAGCCACACAAAAAAGTGCTACTGAGTTTTGTCCAAACTAGTCCCTTAGATTTGCTTTCAATCTTTCCCTGGAGAATTAAATGGAGTATGCTGTATTTTTCTGGGTGTCGCATCACGTCCGAAATATTCTAACTTTCGTTTTTTAATTGTTTTGATGATTTCCCTTGGCTTTCTGATCTTGTCAACCCTGCTTTTTTTTTTTTTTTTTTTTTTGTAAAAGCATAATGGTTGCAATCCTTGCCTTGAAAATAGAAGGTTGCTGATTTGAAATTGAGCATTTTTAATTACCATTCCTCTTTCCTTGAGCTTCGTACTTGTCCCCTTTTTTGTTTTTAATTAGTCCAGCATTGTATCTTTTCATCGTTTTCTCTAGTCATGTGAAGTAGAAGGGTTTCATCCTCAGTTCTCAAATAGCTAAAATAAACTACGGGCTCTCTTGACTTACCAAAAATGAGTGGAGGATTAATAGGGGTCTATTTTTGCTCTCCAGAAATGTTTGCACATCTGTTCTGGTGATGGAACAATGGGGCAGTATAAGTGTTTAGTCTCTTCACTTCTTGCCTTCTCATCCCAGATTAAAGAAAGAAGAACAGAGTTTTGTTGTTACTTTTCTGAAAAAAGACAAGTAAAAAAAAAAGATGTCAAAAAATAATGGATAGGTAATCTAATAATGTGTGGAAGAGGTTGAGCGTGTGTGAGCGTGTGTGAGTAAAAGTGAATAATAAATACATATGTATGCATTCCTATCTCATTAATTGAGCACTTTAAATTCTCATTTTTTCTAAATTTTATATTGGAATACTGATTTTTGAATTG